ACGAAGCCAATGAATGTTATCTGTTATAGGGAGCAATACCTTTTCAACGTCTTCGAGGTAATAGTATCAACTTTGGAGTCCAAGTTACAGCGAATCGAGAATTTAGATAAGGCGGTGGAGCACTTGATGAGAAGAGTAGAGGCTTTAGATTCCCGCGTAAACGATAACATTGACAAAACAGATGCGGTTATTACTAAGCTTAGGACGTTAGATTTGAAGCTTTTCAATGCGTATCCTATCATATCCGCGGAAACTGCAACGAGAATTACCGAAAGCAAGAGCGGAAGTAGCGCGGAAGATGGTGAGTATGAGATATATATATTGTATTTTTTTACGAAACTGTTTGTTTCGAAACTTGGTTATTCAACCGATCTCGATTTCTTTTTTTATATGCAGTACGCCAAAAGATAAAATTGTATTAGACTATTTTAAAATATTTGTGAACCATCAAAACGCGTACGCACGGCAAGAGAGATGACTCGAACTGATTGCTTTAAAGAAAAATTGACATATTTTATTTTCATTACATTGCGACGATATTAATTTGAAATTGAACAGTATCGCAGTATTTAACTAAAATGTTTTTAACAGCCCCATTTATACGTGTGATTCATCACGATCAAAACGATCAAGCACCAGAAACTCTTGGCGAAAAATTGATTTCTCTGGATCAGAAGGTTTCCGATATCGACCATAAGCTTGTCAATCTTAAGAATCAGCTCGACAACAATTTTTTGCAAGCCGATGATATAAATGCCGAGGCGAGCGAAAAGAAGCCTGTCAGTATGAGCGTCATCGAGATCACCAAGGCTATGAATAACGAGGTGATGAACCATATGACGCTCGAGATTGGGAATCTTAAGCAAGCGACAAGTAGTATGGATCGTAAGCTTCAGTTCCATATGAATCTGATGTCGGATAATCTCGGAGCGGTGTACAATATGATTAGTGACGTGCACGGTGCCGTTGTCGAGAAAAATTACGAGAACAATCGGCATAATCGTCCTAATGTAACAACGACCGAAGCCCCGACGAAACGCAACAAAGCCGATCGTCTTACCGAACAAATGTATCCGATACTTGTCGTTTCTGAGAAGATGGATCAAGTTTGGAACGCAGTGGTAAGTTTTTAATATGAGAGAAGCGTGTTGAGAAATTCAGTGTGCGAATCAATATTGATAACAAACTGATATTACGATCAGTTTTGCGCGCAATGCCGTCAAGAATAACATAACGTTAATTTGAATAATATTAGATGGGGACCAAGAGTTCGGTGGACGATTTGCTACCGAAATCCGACGAATTACTTACTCAGACCCAAAGGCAAGAGAGAGCGATTAGCGAAATTCATGCCGATCTGAAATCGAAGACAAATAAGATCATCGAGAATCTGGAGGGTGTCGAAAGCCGCTTGAGGAAGCAAGAGGACGATGTGGCCACTCTCGCGCAACGCCCGATTCCAGCTGAATTGCTACTGGACCCAACAATCGACCGGCTCGTTGAATATGATCCGAGCAGGTAAGAATTTCTTATACTAAATAACTTGCAAAATAAAAATCTAGGATTATGTGAGGATATATTATAATACAATGGCAATATATATAAACGGCAGTTTTTATACATTTGATTAAAAAAGTAGTACGATTTATTGTTATTTAACGAAAACTGTCCACAAATTTTTCCGGTTTATCGGAAGTACTCTCCATAATACATGAGTAGAAGAAACGTCAAACACAAACTAATTCTCTCATGTCGTTTATTCTAAGATACATCAGCGTAACCGAAGATTTTGTAACGGAGATGCCCACGTCTACGCTACCCACTGTCTCACCGCCGTTGTCAACCACAACATCGATATCGTCCGTCGCTTCACCCTCGAACAATCCTACTAGTTCCACGACACCCATGACGGCACCATCTTCGACTACCGCGAGACCAAATAATAGAAATCGGGGAGTGATATTTCCGAGTGTTAAAAATAAACCCAGTTTAGCAAATTCCACTTTCACAAGCGACATATTAATCAATTACAAGGATATCAAGGTATTTTAATATTTTGTATGACTCTCTCCTTTTTTCAAAATATCGTCTCGAAGTAAAGCGTCTAATTATGAAAAGAAAATATTTACAAAAGTGCCAACAATGTATTATTCAAGATATTCCGATATAATTCTTTAATCTTATCAGATATTTTTCGCGAGACTTATTTCAGAGAACAGAAAACATTTTGATAATATCTAAATATATCGACCTTTAATTTTTTATTATTTTCTCTTGTAAATTTAGGGTTATTCTTGCGTGGATTTATTAAACGGAGGAATGCGAGACAGTGGGGTGTACTACCTACAAATACGCGGCACGACATATTGGTTCCTTAAAGTCTATTGTGAACAGGAAATTGCTGACGGTGGCTGGACGGTGAGTTTGTTATCGACATCAAAAACAATGTGATAGCATTAAAATAGAATATTATCGGAGTAAAAAATGATGAAAGAGGACACGCGCAACGATTAATAATGATTTACAACAAATTTTTATGTAAAGGTTATTCAAAGGAGGGATGATTTCGGAGAGCCAAGGGAGAACTTTAATAGAGATTGGGCAGATTATAAAAACGGTTTTGGAGATCCCGCTAAAGAATTTTGGCTAGGCAATGAAAACATATATATGTTAACAAATAATGAAGATTATATGCTCAGAGTTGAACTTGAGGACTTCGAAGGTAACAAAAGGTATATGCCTAAACTGTAGATTAATTATCGTAGCTTTTTTACTGCTGTTAAAAAGGAGGGGAGGGGAGGGTATTAATAACGAATGCGTAGCCTTACAGTTTTCGTACTGGCACCATCGTGCAGGTATAAATTGAAATCGATCGAGTAAAATTATCATTTGATTTTATCAGGTACGCACAGTATTCGCACTTTAAGATTTATTCAGAGGGAGAGTACTATAAATTGGAGATAGATGGATATGAAGGAAATGCAGGAGATTCATTGAACGATCCTTGGTACGGATCGAACAATAGTCCGTTCTCCACATACAACAGGTAAAGTACAATTTATAAAATAAATAACGTAGAACGTTTATTATATAATAAATGAGATGTTTTTATATCATCGTGATAATATGCGAAATTACTGTGATAACTCATTGGATTTAGAGATATTTATGCTTTTTAGGGATAATGACAGATCATCCTTGAATTGCGCTTCGATGCTCAAGGGTGGTTGGTGGTGGAAATCTTGTGGTCGTGGCTTAAATGGTCTTTATCTAAATGATCCACAAGATCTTACTGCACGACAAGGTATGTTTATAAGTCGTGTATAACGCAGATATTAAAATTGAAGAAAGTTTTATACTTCTAACTATAATGTAATAGAGATCGTAAATTATGAAAAAATTAAGATAAACTCTCAATTTGCACTAATGAATAAAAATTATATTATTGTTAAAGGTATCGTATGGTTCCGTTGGAGAGGTTGGGATTATACTTTAAAACATGCACAGATGATGATTAAACCAAAAGGACCAGCAACAACGACGACAACAACAACGGTATAAACATTGGAAATGTATAAAGTTTGAAACGTTAACTTAATCGAAATTTTTTACGAAGTTATTAAATAACAAAACCTTGCACATAGTACTTAAATTATGTATTGCAAACGCATAAACACGCTATTAATATGAAAATTTAAAGCACTTTTTTTAATTATATTTTTTATCCATATTTATCTATATTTGATTAATTCAAAAATTAATTCAAAGATTGAATCTCAAACTTTGTACTTGACATAATAAAATAATACTGTTTAATAAAAAATTATTTTTAATAACATTTTATATCTGCATTAATTTATCATAATTTTAAATATAAAAATAAGAACTTGAGATACAAGATTGATGTAGAGAGATTGGAGATTAGATAAGTGAAAGATATTTAAAAAGAAGTTATAACAATTATAAGAGAAGTATCTGAACAAAATAAACATGTTAATTATAATGTAAAATAAAGAATATTTATGATGTATGCAATATGGTATAAAAAATAATGCTCAAAACGCCATAGTTTAAATTTAACGATTTATTAAAATTATAGTAGTTATATAATTCAAAGAACTATTTCTTGCAACACTCCATTTTTTATATATCTATTTTTACCATTTTTAATCAATATAGAACTGTCTAATTCGTAAAGCTCGTTTTTAAGCTCTTCTTTCTTACCTTTAAATAGAATAGAATTGCGTGGCGGTAGAAGATTGCATTTCTATTTGACCCATCTTAAACTGCAAACGATGTAACCATCGTAAGAGTATCGCGTTTGATTCTCTTCGATTAGTAACAAAATGCTCCGCCATTTTGTTCGGTGGGAAATCGCGACAATTCTGCAATCGCATTTGTAAGTGTCCCGGTAGCTAAAAAATGAAATAAGCCACGATTATCGAGGTATTTTTATCTTTCTGCTCCGATTGTTCAATTTTGTTTCTAACTCTGTTCTTACCTGGACATGATGAGAAAATAATATGGTATTCCACAAAGGTAGTAATTTACTCAATAGAATCGATCCGCATTCTAACAAGGCCTCTAGCAAGCTTAAGAAATGCAAATTAAGCATTTCAGAGAGCTAAAAATAAAATTGTCTTTTCATGTCGTTGCCTCAAGCTCGTTTCAAATGTTTCAATTTAAAATAGGTAGAACTCTATAAGTCACACTACATCGAGAATTGCACTCACAGCTTTCGAGTAGGAGACAAGTTGCAAAATGCATGGTGTTATCTTGCCCCAAAATTCTAACAAGATATTCATGGTGACATTGTGACTTTCACTGTTTGTTGCGTTATTCTTCGACATTTCCTCCAAATACATCGTCCAAAGCTATGGTCGTAATGCGTTGCAAATTAATAGGAACTATTAATATTTAATATTTAACAATCAAACGTATTACAATTTAAAATATAAGTACCTGGCAAAGAATAAACGCGTGGAAGAGCGACGACATGTGGAGGACCGAGGTTTTCGATTGTTCTGGAAACCCCGAGAAAATGACTTGTATGTGATCCGCGATGTGGCAAGACACTTCTTGAGGTATCGGTTGCGCCAATGGTACCGTTGAATGGGAATGACTGTTATTGTTGCCAGTGTACATTGCTATGTGCGTAAGCGATCCCAGTAACAGCCAGGATAAGAGTCTGATATGGCCGATACAATCAACGTATTCACGAGCTCTAAAATGTTGATGGAAAAAAATCACGTTCAATTAGGATCAATGATTAATTAGATAAAATCTTATTAATGGCAGAAAATGCAAAAGAGATGACTAATAGCGAAAAATAGCCTACCCTTGCTGTATAGACGGTGCGGTGTATAACCATGGCAAGTAACGCGCGACGGCTCTGTTCTCTCTATTGTTGCCTCTCGTAATTTCTAAAGCTACGTATTGAGCAAGGCCACACTTTAACATCCCGCCAATCGTGTCCTCGTTTAATCCCGCCTGCATACCTTTGTTATAACTCTAAACAAAGAGACGTTCTTTGAGTAAATTTCACAGAAATTTATTAACTAGTGATCGATTTAACACACATATTAAATACACTACCTTAATCTTGCTTAAAGTATGAAAGTCAGTTAAAAATTCGAGAACATCCGATAACTGATTCTTTAAAGATTCAGAGGCATTCGTGTTGTAAATCGGCGACATGTCTGTTTGAATATTATTTTCCATCGCAACGACACTATTAGGCAAAGATCCTCCAATATCCTGCGTTAATCACATTATTATTGATATCTCTTCGACTTATCAATTTTTAATTATGTGACAATTAAATTATATCTAAAGTTTAAACTAAAAACCTTAACGTATGTCATATAAATATTACGATTACTTACTTGGAGCACAAACTGAAGCAGTAACAAAAAATTAGAGTCCGGTATTGTAATTTTAAATTTAATGGCCTGCATTAACTCGAATACAATCGTTCTCCCGAAAAAGTGTTTGTCACGATCACGAGTAAATCCTCTATGGCACAAATAGCATAAGTCCGTTAAATAATTGTATTGCAATGTTGAGTTTTGTATAGCGTAACTTAATACTTTGGAGAATGGATCCAGCATTCCCTAAAAAGAATATTGGATATACAACACTAATTTAAAAAGAAAAGAGAATCTCATGTAATTTTATTGATTAAAGTACCTTTGACTGTTGAATTCCCGGAACCTTTAATATCGAAATCATAATACGCAAAAGAGGAGTGATATCCTCGATGGAAGGAAGCATAAGAACAAGTCTTCGAAATAATCCATCGAATTGTGTCAGCACTCCACTCCACGTGGCCGCAGCAGGACCCAATCCCGCTTCCAATGGCAAACAATCCAAGTAGCACGCAATATTATATAATATTATTGGCAGCCGTTCCAACGGCAATGATTTTTTCATATTTAATGTCTGAAATTGAATTTTACAAGATACGTATAATTTATTTTCCTATACGTTCCAGAAATGCGCTTGGTGAGTTACAAAAACAATTAAGGATTCACTTTTGTGCGTAATCAAGTTGCTTTCTTACCTCAAGCAATAACTGCAAGGGCGCGATCGGATTTAACTCGTTAAAATCGACCAAGGCTTGTGCAACGCTCTTGAAAAATTGCAACCTCGTCGTTTCTGTAAGTTGAAAGAATGTAACAATAGAAAAAAGAATATATTATTATTATTTAAAATTTTCCAAGAAAATTGATGTTGAAAAACAGCTGTGCTCGTAAAATATATGTAAATTATAAGAAAAAATTTTTTTTATAGTACCTATATATGCTTACATATATTAAGAATTTGAGAATTAGGAAAATTATTTAAATTGATCTATTAATCTATCAAGCATAACATTCTTACTGTTCAAATGAGTCTGAAACATTTGCATAAATACTCCATTAGGTGCTAATTGATGGAGAACGCATCTGAGAAATTGGTGTGCTACGCTGACCGCACCACCTGGGAGGTGCATATTCGTTTCGCTTTGCCAAGGATACATTGCATGAAGGGACACCCTAGTACATGAGCAATACATGAGCGCTTTATTTTATCAGCTTAAAACAACATAATAAAAAGACAGTATTTACTTGGTAACTACGCCGAGTATTTCCGGCAGTAATGGTGCCGCTAGAGATGGCTCTCGATGAATAAACGTTCCCAACGTTATTATACACAATCCAAGCTCTTCGTCGGAATACTCTTCTCTTATCGTTCCGCATTCTGAACACCTGCAGTGATGTTAGTTGAATAAAATTCAGTACGATAATAAATAACAATTTGGCTTAATAACATCCAGCATGTTAAACTATACCTGTCGTAAACGCAATCGTCGCCGATGCGAAATAAGCTCTGTTTTAAATTGAAATCCGCATGATACGCTTGTTGAGAAACGAAGTCTAAATTTTGTTGAGCCTGTGTACCAGACCTATTAAATAAGAAACAAATACGGATTAAGATGTAAGAATTATTCACATAATTTAGTTGAAAAGTAGTAATAACATGAGGAATTTACCAGGATTCCGTTCGCCTTGCATGAGTAATCATATCTTGATCCGTTATAGCAGTGATCTTCCGTGCTCTGTCACGTTGAATCCGAAACTGATCCTTCGATTTGATCTTCTGGTCAAACTCTGCAATTTTTGAAACAAAATCTCCGGGATCGATCGCTGGTGGAGACGATTCTAAAGCCACTTGTTTAATTAGTCTTCTCGGACTTGGCGATCTACTCGAATTAACTTCATTGCACGTTGGTATGAGTGATGTTGACTGTGGATAAACATAATATGTATATAAATAGAAGATGTTTTATTCTTACAAATTTATTTTATCTCAAAAGTAAATATTTATGTGTTTGTAGATCGCGCGTTATGTATTACATAACAATCAATTAAAAATGCATTCTTACCATATTTTCAGATGTTCCGCTATCCTGCTTTGTGAGTGCTACATCATGAGTGTCACGCTTCGTATCCTCATTCGATTTATTCGTATCTAAAAGAAAAATATTTCAGAGTGTTTGCTTGTTAAACAACTTTCGATAAAATATTACACGTAATATGCATATGGATATTTGTAATCGTGAGAAATCCTACGATCAGCGCGTACAAACCTTCGATGTCTGAAATATCGAGAGCTTGACGTACTCGTTCGACTAAGCTGGGGAAATCTCTCTGAGGACCAACCGGCAACAGTCGTTCTGGCGTTGGAAATTCCAGTTGAGAAACGCTATGCGGACTCATAATGTCGCTGGACATGCAAGTCTCGCTGTCTTGCTCGAACGAAGAACCTATAAAATTACAATCAACTTCAATCTTTTTATATTAGACAGTCTTCTTTCCATTTTACTTTACTCAATGCATTAATTATCTATTCTATTATCGCTCTAAATATTTACTCACCGACTGTTAAAATGTCCATTTTTGACAATGGCGATTCTGGAGAGCCATATGTGTCCTCGCATTTTAATACGCGTTGCGCAGTTCGTGATCCTATAAGAAAAATTGCTTATCTTATTTGTTATTAATTAATAAAATTTGTTATTAATTAATAATATGCGAATTGCTTACCAGTCGCTCGAACCATTGTACCAATAGGAAGCAATCGTTCGACGGTCGGAGTAGTCATCAAAGGTTGCGAACTAGTAGGGGGATCACCTGTTTGCTGTCCATTCTCTGTACTTATGATTTGCGATGATATAGA